ATAAATTGTGTTTATTACACGTCTGGATAATTTACAGAGATTATTTTCGAATCATTGAATAGGGCCATATAAATTTATTAATTGATTCTCATAACATAAAATTTTACAAATAACAACTTTTTCTTTTTTTTAATAATTATAAGAACTACAGTAAATACAGTATATATATATTTATTATAGTACAAAAGCGTACATAAAAGCTTATCCCGGAATTTTTATGATAAATGAGATTAATGAAAATTTTTAAAGATTTACAATATAGGATAATTTTTGTTCGATCAAGACGATCTTTATTCATTCTATGTATAATAGTTTCGTAGTACCAAATCAGTATTGAAATGATCGACCTAATTTTGATACATTTTAGAGAAGACTATAAGATCAATTTCAAATATTACGAAGCATTCATAAGTATAATAAAGTAATATTAAGTTCTTTGGCAAATATATACTTTATATACTTTATATACTTGTTATAATACACATAAATGATAGTCACTTCCCACACAGCGGAAAAATTCCCTGAAATCTGGGAAAAAGGATAACCAAATATGTACAAATGAATAAATTATAGAAACGCGGGGGCAGATCAAGCTTTTTTTTCTTATTTTAACGTTTATTCGTCAAGGCTATTTTTTTTCAAATAGAATCTTTGATTTTTTTTAAAAATTTAAAGGTACCAAATATGTTGATTGTAAATGGAATACTTCTATTACAGTATTATCAATTATTTTGTCAATAATTGATTGATAAATTTACCCGATTTAGAAATTCATTTACCTAACAGTTAGGCAGAGAGCGATTTGTTTATATTATATGATATTACACAAAAATTTAAAATCGCTTATCAAATAGTTAACAGAATATATTAAATATATAGATTAATTAATTAATGATTAATGATACACAGAATATTCGTTTCTTATTAACCGAATCTTTATTTGATAAAATTGTTAAATTTACTACGTAAAAAATAGTTAAATTGTTAGTCAGTTATATTCGTTAAAATTTGTTAAATACGAATGAATGAATTCTTTTGCCTAGCTTTTACTAGTTAGATAAATTTTTTTTTCCTTAGTTCACATTCTGTTAGAGCACGCGATAGTGCATGTGAAAGAGTATGAAAGATCGATACATCGTAATTTTTTTGTAATAAATATACGACGATTATGGGCTGAGATGTTTAAGTGAACAATGAGACAATAATACATGAGAAATTAATAATATATTTACAAAATTTAATACAGCGTTAATTAATGTTGTGACCTCTTAATTACAATTTTAATGTAAAAAGCATGATATGCATTAAAATGCGTGAAAATACATGAATGAGTGTTTATTATGTACAATTGCGTCAATTACGTTCATGAGTTAATCTAACAAAGATAGTATGAACACAAGCAGAAAAAAAAAAAAAAAGAGATGGACCAATCATAAACCACATATGTAAACAAAATGCCAGAGAGCATTTCTTGAACCAAAGTCACGCAATGTTTCAATTAAACTTTATAAAGGTAAATGCTATAGATTCGAAAAGTAAGAACATGTGATGCAATAAATAATTTCCGGTCTACATAAATGGATAATTTTAGTTTTTTTTCCCTATTGTAATCCGGTTTTTAGATAAACCACTTGTGATATATAAATATTTTTATAAGATAAGGCGTTAAAATAAACTGGGGAAATTTGTGCTTTTAAACTTTGTCAAAGTAGTCAAAGTAGTCAAAGTAGTCAAAGTAAAGTATTATATATATACTGTATATATATTGTCTACAATTTTTTTTTTTGGGTCATTATTCATCAGGGAGTGAAAAAATTAAATCTGCTTACGTCATCAATCGATAATCATTTCCTTAAAGAAAGTTACTATCCCAAAATAGATTCCAAATATTTATTATCAATATATGCGAGTGACGCTGCACGACATATAGAATATTAGGGTTTTCTAAATTCAAGTATGTACGCGTAACAGTACAAGTATGTAAATGCGCAAATAGGGATCAAAATAACAAGATCATTGCGCATATATGATTTTTCCGTCTATGTTTAAAAAAAGAAAAGATCTCGAGGAAGACAGTAAATAAAAAACAATCGGCAAATAACAGAACGATACGTAGTATAGAGAAAATTTTCTAAAATTGTTTCATAAGATCTCAATAAAGTATTAATCTATTTATTAATCTATTTATTAATCTATTTATTAATCTATTTATTAATCTATTTATTAATCTATTTATTAAATATATTGATCAGCTAACGCTTATGATAATCGGTTCAAACACATTAAGCACATTACTACAGTTCACAAGCGCATCAGCCATAAACAAAAAGAGACCAAACCATTCTCGAATAATCAAATGTGTTCAGAAATATGTAATCAAATTTGCAGAATTTATTTTCCGTATTTATTATATAAATGGATATAAATCGTAACTGTGTATGAGAGTGTATGTTAGTGTACGTTAGCTGTTAGTGTATGTTACTGTGTTAGTGTACGTTAGTGTATGTTAGTGTAAGATTAATATATCAATTTTTATATATCAATATATCAATATATCAACTTTTATATACGTATCATAATTCGGCTAAATGTCGGCCAATAGCAAAAATAATACTTAAATTAGTCTATTGATAGATCTTTTTCCTATCAGCTATTGCTGTATTGATATTTTGTGACCCAATTACGGATTAGAGACCTAAATTGTATCACGAAAAAGAGAATTTGTGTATATTTATTCTTTAATTTAAAACTCGTAAATATTGTAAATATTACAATTATTGTAAATATTATAAATATTGTAAATATTGTTTAATAGAGAAGACCAGAAAGCGACAAGCTTATATCAAGTACAACCTAACACTAAGATATGTTTATATCATTCGCATTCACAATAAACCTTAATAATTACTGAGACCTTACCTTTTACATCATTAAATACAACATCGGACAATTCCGTCTTTTCTGTTTGCGTCAGCCAATTCGCGGTACAACACAATTTATCCTTGATAATTTCTAATTTTGGATTCCTTTATCTACTTAATCTTCTAAATATTCTACGAAGAAAAGCTTAACAAATCAAAATAAAAAAATATATTATAGATCGCGTAATTTGTTCGTTCCTTTTTTCTGCATTTTTGGTTACGTTATCAAATTTCTCTTTAAAGAAAAAACGGCTCTTCCCGCTAAGTTATCTTTTTCTTAATGCATTACTGAATAAGTTTGACATTAAATAGTTGTCTAGACTCATCTAAATTTAGTTCTGTCCCTTGAAATTTGCGGACATTTGTCCTTTTCAAGTATTTATAAATAATAAAAAAAGTAATTTCACGTGACCAACGGAAAAGATTTATCAATATAGAATAGAATTATGCAATGTAAATAATGATCAAGTTTTAAACATTTGATTTCTCAATTTACACAAAGCCGTGTCACCTATAATTCCTTATTAGTACGAGTTAAAGGCTTTTTTGAAGTATGCTCCGCTGTAAGTGCATATCGGGTTGAAAAAATCTTTTATTTTGGTTATCTCAGATCTTATCAGGCTATTGTACTTACATTATATATATATTATTGTGTTGCATAATTTGCATAATATTTTTACATAGTAAGCTAAAAATGTTATTTAAGGCGTTAATTCTAGCGATCTTTTTTGATTTTAATATAATCACTCGAAAAAAAAAAAAGAGGTTTGATCTTGTCTATTAAAAAATAAATGTGCGTTCCCAGCACAGAACCTGCACCAACCAGTTAAATGCTATGTTGTGCAACTTTTACTAAACCTCTGATTACCATTTTCCGTATGTACTAATCATTCTTTGTGTCTCCAAGAATTGTAATTTATTCTGACGCATCCCATAGTTTGACTAAATTTTTTGGCCTCATCATCGATTTAATGAATAAAAACTTGTTTTTGTTTACGCTATTGTTGATATTTTTTCCCCGTTAACAAACAAAAAAAAAAAATATATATATATATATATATATATATATATATGATATATATGATAATAAAAAAATTTTTTTAGAGGTATGATTGTCTAAGATCCGTTCACTCATGCTTTTCTCTGTGCTGCCTAACTTTAAGACAATCATTTCCCCTCGTGATATTTAATCTTTTATGCCAGTTGTCTTCCAAAGTGTCTGCGCGTTAAAGCATAATTAGGTTGCATTTTTTGCTTACGTCACAAGAAAATTCTATTTATTATTTCTTTCGTGTCTAGGTGAGACAAAGATTAGCAAATTTTTTTATTACATGAAATTTTAATTTTTTTTACTTTTTACAAAAGCTAATCACTACTCTATCAAATTATAATAACATTTCAAACACTCCGCATATATACTTCAACCGAACGAACACACGCATATATGCGTCATTTACCATTTCTGGATTTGATTGACTTTGTATATAAATACCAGTTATTCGGACTCAGAATTCGAGGTTACAACTAGTTGTTATTTTTATGTCGTCTAATTAGACTCAAATTAATTATAATTCAAGGTAATAGTATTTACACAACTTTAATGCTGAATTCACATGGGAAAAAATCTTTCTTTTTTCAATTCTTTTCTTATCTATGGTGTTTTAGATTTAGTTCAATTTTTAGTTGATTAATGACCTTAATAACCTTGATAATATAAAACATGCTTTTTTTTTCCTTTTTTTTAATCCTATATTCATCTGCCCATTTTTTCCACTTTTTTTTCGAATTCAAATAACGAGAAATTTCTTGTTATTTTATGAATTATAGGGCTTTATAATAATAATAATTATATTATTATTTTATTATTATTATTTAGTATTGTTAGTTTAATAATTCTTAAGTTTCTTAAGTTATTAGTATTTTTTTTTTTTAAAAAAAAAGTTCGCATAATGATAATACCTACAATTCTTTATGACTCACCACCATCTTTAGAATCCATTTATGATATCCCCCGTTATTCAAAACTTTCAAAATCTTCAAAATCTTCAAAAAAATTTACATCATCAAAATTCAGAAATTATGAATAATTTCACTAATCCTACTTCTCTTGTTCCTTTACATCAACAGCAACAAGTCGAAGTACAGCTCGCCTATTTCCCACAAATTCCTATTCAACATCAATTTCAACCCCTAAACATATTTAATCCAACAGCTTATCCTTCGCCACCTTTGGATTCTTCTATCAGTCTTTCTCCTTCTAGAATGGCTTCTAACGATTCTGGTGACCATCATAATCGATCAATTCTTTCTGATAATTCTCAACCTGGTTCGTCTACATCAGAAATTTCTGGGGCAACTTCTTTTTCTTTTGGTTCGTATTCAACAAATCCGGTGAATGCTTACCATGACCGTATGTTGAATCCTACATTTTTCACAGACCCATCGATGAAGTTACCATCCGGATCTAATACGACACAACCAATTGACTACTATAGTCAACCTCCTGCGAATTATAGTCATGGTGGAATGCCACATCCAAGTTTTGGTAACACAATGCCACCTACTCCCCATGACTACCAAACATCTATGGCTCCCATGCAAAACCAAAATGGAAACGTTACACGCACTACGCCACCTCAATTCCATCAAAACCCAAATCGTCCTCCACCAGTAGCTCCTCAAACAATGATGACCACTTTCAGTTCAAAGACGGTTTCCTCTACTCCGAAAAGATACAAGTGTAATATTTGTCAAAAGAGATTCACTCGTCCAAGTTCCTTACAAACTCATACTTATAGTCATACGGGTGAAAAACGTAGGTCATGTTTATATTTTTTTAGAAATAATTTTTTTTATTTTATTTTTTTTTAATACTAAATTTTATATTCGACGCATCTCTTTTCGCTTTTACATATGTATATAATATAATCGGTATACTGATGTTTTCCCACTTAATCATCCAGCTTTTAAATGCCCGGTTGAGGGATGTGGTCGCCACTTCTCGGTTGTCAGTAACCTTCGCCGTCATCAAAAAATTCATTCGAAATGATGGACATCCGAGACACATCTCTTTAATTTTATTTTATTTTATTCTTTTTTATAGACAATATTAAAATGTATCTTTTGTAATTAGTATCAAACTAAAAATGAAACCTCTTCATTGTAATTTTATATGTCGCAATTAGTAAACTGTATCTAATGATATATACATATCAAATATAGTTTCTCTCTCTTCTTTTATTTCTTTTTTTTTTTTTACGTAATTCGTTGAATTCGTTGAATGAAAAAAAAAAGATTAATTTCTTTGCAAGTTCAAACGATGATCGTTCACCGAATTTCTTTTTATTATTATGCCCATTACATTTTATGCATTTAAAATTCCTTTTATGCACTTTTGTTTCTCTGCTTACTCACAATGCTTCAAACTATTTTTTTTTTTTTTTTTTTTATACTTATAAATTATCTAATGCGTTATCATAGATGATAACAATTTTTTTTCTCTTTTCTTCCTTTTATGATTATTATATTATACTATGCCACAAAAATAATTGAACAAAAGGGCTAAAAAAAATCTATATCATATATGTTTTTTTTTTCTTTGAAAAACGTATGCATGCCATTTTTCTACTTCAATATCTAAAAAACAATATGAATTCATGATATGTGTTCATTTTAACTATTATGTGTTATGTAAAAAAAATTTCTATAGTACCATAGTTTTTTTTTTTTTTTCCTTGAATTTTTGAAGAAATAAATCTTTTTTTTTTCTTCGAGATGTGAGATGAAAATCGGTGTTAATTTATTGCGATTAAAGGAAGATAATCTCGGAGAATTTATATAGTACTATAAAAAAACGAGTTACGTACCTGGTATTATTTTTAAATCCGCGGCATATTGCAGTATTGATGAAGATGAATGTCACGTGGACATGAACACGGCCTATCCTTGATCTACAACTGGTCTTAAAAAAAATTTTTTTTAAAAAAAAAAATCCTGGTCAATACACGAAGAAATTTTTTTAAAAAAACGTTAATAAAACGTTTACACTAAAAAAATTTCAGCCCTAGAATAAGGGATTTTTTTTTTTAAAAAAATCCGAAACGGAAAGAAAATTTCTCATGATAATATTTAAATAAGCTAAACCATTTACAAGACCTTAGTGACCCAAATAAGAATTCATTTCATTTTAAACATGACAACATGTTCGCATCTTTTTTTCTGTTAAATCAAATAATTAAATGGGGAACATTTTAAAAAAAGTATTTCATTGGGCAAAATTTTTTTACTTTCGTGTCTCATTAGATTCAAGTAGGCTGTGGTAAAACCTCATACCAAAAAAGTTCAACAATCTGATTTGTTTAGGTAACCAAGTCACAATTAAAATTATGGCGATAGAAAAAAAATTTTTTTGCTTAATTTGGTTGATATAAAGATTACTCTTTTTAAAGGTTTGCCTTGAGATTTCATGCGATATTGTTTATAAGGGGCTTATTATGGTTTGATTGAATAATAGTATAATAGGCTACTTAGTTAAGCATTCTACTTTATAATCTCATTGGATTTTCCACGTGTCCGTGTAACGTGCACTAGCATTTAGGTCCCGACCCTATAAAAAAAAGTCCAGGAACTCTCGTAAGTTCGCGATAATAACACGTGATTAGTACCATTTTCTTATAAAATTTGTGGCTTGTATTGCATACAATATAAATTTAATTATATTATTTTAAGAATACACACAATAAGTTCGCTTTCTCTAACTATGAAGGACTATGAAGTTATTTGAATTTGTATAAATAAATAAAATATATATGTATATTTTTTTTTACTTTGCTCTATATATTTCGTTATTTAAAAAATTTTTTTTTATTAAAAAAAATAATATATCTAATTTCGTAATTTTAGAGTAACATATATTACGTTATCACTACCCTGTCAAAATAGTTATTGGTCACGCGTTATTAGCATTAATCAAGTCTATATAGTATCAAATTTATGTCAAGGTATATATCTTATAAAGAACGAGTTCCTGAAACATCAAAATTTTTCCATGATATAATTAATAGTTAAGGATGTTAAAAAACAGGTTAGACCCTTTTTTTTCGCCATTTTTAAAACAGGTGATGTTTAAAGTCCGAATAGTTAAATCTGAATTTAAACACGTATACCGATCATGATCATTACCTATTTTTTAATTATGTAATAAAAAACGTTTGCGATCCCTAATAGCAGTGCATAAAATTTTATCGTTAATTAATTTATTAACAAGTATATATATACTTTAATAAATTATTGTATGATATAAGTAATAAACCATTTAAGATCAAAATCATACGTATTATTTGTAATAAATTTTAACCAATAAAATTCAATCTTTTTTAGATTGCGTCTGTAACACGCCATAGCTAAGGTTTTTGGTTAATACTTAACGTTAAAAAGTTATAATATCAATTTTATTTATATATATATATTAAAGGATAAGATTTCGTACCTTTTTTAATTAACATTAATAATATACTGTATACTGTATTGACGATATTAATAAATTTGTAAGCTTATTGTTGTATAAGTTTAATTTTGTGTGTATATCTTTGTGTATAACTATATAATTTTAATATCTACTTAGACTTAATTGGGACCCCATAGCAAAAGAGGGTTTAATTTATGATAATTTTATTTCAATTAATTAATTTAATTCTTCAAAATTGAATTTTTTAAAAAATTTTTTTGGTTTATTCTTTTTTTTTTTGCTATAAAAGGCTTTATATTTTATTTAAACTTAACATATAAAGACTATATACAGTATATAGTAGTTTACTTTTTAAAAAATTATTAAAAATTTTATTAATACTATAAAAAATAATAAAATCTTTAAAAATCAATAACTTTTGATCTATTAATCCAATTTGAATGATTTAACTACCAAAATAATCCTCTTATAAAGATGATTTTAATGAACTTAAAATTAGCCAAATCCAATAACATGATCTTGAGATCTTTAATAGTTTATATTATATTTTACTATAGTAAATATAATATAAAACATTAACAATTTTGGAATTATGTAATCAGATTTGGCTAATTTTAGATTTATTAGAATCATCTCTATGAAAGGATCATTTTGGTAATTAAATTATCCAAATTGGATCAATAAATCAAAAGTTATTAATTTTAAAGATTTTATTATTTTTATAATAATAATTTTATTTATTTATTTTTTTTTATTAAAGGAGACTCTCTTGGTCGGTGAATTTTATTAAATAAGTTCAGACACTATATATTATTACAAAAGTATATCAAGCTACATATATACTTTTGGTGCCTAATTTAAGTAGCTTGCCCAAAGCATTAGTTCTATGCTAAGGATTCTATACTATCTACCATACCTGTAACCTAACAATAAGATTATCTATTTAAACCTTCTAGTATTAATATATTAAAACCTAATATAGGTATAACAGGACCCCGAAATATATATAGAGGGGTAAGGTTTTACAAATTTAGAAAGATCTGCAGAAAAAAAGTCAAAAATAAGCAAACTAATTACTAATAATCTGCACAAAAAGGATTAAAAATAAGCAAATTAAAACCTTACCCCTACATATATATTTCGGGTTCTGGTATAACTCACTATTTGGGTTATAGGTTTGTAACACTATTATATCATTAGCCAACTTAGAACATTTTACTATCCTTGAGAGTAAGCTCAACAAAGCAGTACATGTTTTATATATATATTTACCTGCATATTCGATAACTTCTTATCTAGTTAGTATCTGTTGTGCTGCTGTCACCAAGTTTATATCTCAAGTTACTCTTTAGAATACTACTATAACCCAATCTGTTTTTCAAGCTACAATCTTTCTAATTAGTTGCCTATTACTTACTTATACCTTTATTCAGTTTACAACAACCCCAGTACTCATACTTGAAACTGTCTTTTTACTTAAATTTTTTATTGGTCCCTTCTTTACTTTTAGCTAGCAACTCAGAAGAGTTAGTCTGCTCAGACTTTAGGTGTCTTATAGTTACCCTTTTCTTGGTCTATACTTTTAGAGTATATATTCTTTTTCTTTAGTGCATTGGCTTAGCAGTTCGGCTAGTGTGTTTCTACTTAAGAATCTAATCACTCGGTTCTTTAATTTTGGGCTCTAGTTCAAATTCAGCCCTTTTGTAATACCAATAAAAATCATTGTTACCTCCAAATTCAAAACTTCCCAAATAGGTTTTCAGTTATACCAATTCCTCAGATTTATTGCACCAAAGCTTCCATTACTAAATGGTATAATCGAAGTTACAGATTTAGTTCTAGATCTGACTAATAAGCATAGCCATTAACCGAAATACAAACTTATTTTTTAAATATCATTGTCTATGAAATTTAAACTCTAGATCTATCACTTGAAAAGGATAACAACTAAACCACTACACTAAGTAACTACACCTCTATAATAATAATTTTATAAAATATTATATTATTATATATTATTAGTTTATAATATAATTGAAAAGAATAAAATATATAGTATAAATTTTAATTGTTTTATTATCTAAATAAATATTCTTAAATTTAATTGGTTAATATATTAGAAATTTTTTTTTTAATTTGGTAGTCTTGCCTTTACTGTTTATTAGTACTCTAAGGTATTGTGGTTATATATATATATATATATATTTACAACTATCTAATTTATCACAATTAAGACTCACCTAATTACCTATATGTAACCTGATATATGAGATTTTACTTCTTTAATAACCATTCTGCAGCTAAACTAGTTACTAAATTACCGAATGGTTTCCAAATCTATTTTTATCATATATATCCCACTTATATACTACTGTATAATATCTACTAACCAACTTCTACCTCTCATTACTTATCATATTAATTCTAATTTGTTCTTGTACCACTTCTAAATTGGTGTCTCTCGAGTGAGCACTCTTGTTGCTTTCAGTTTAGTGTTCTTAGAATACTATTCTAAGGGCCTAGTTCATATCTCAAACCAGGTACAAAACTTGCTACCACAACCAAAATGTTATTTCACGATC